GTTACTCTGTTGAATTATTGCCTTCCATAGAAATTAGGTTATCAAAACCAATGACTATTTTGTATGCAGCTACTCATCTCTTATCCAAATTTAACTTTTGAAATACTGTCATTTTAGAAATTCTGTCTATTTCTTTGTGAAAGATTTCTGATTTTCTGTTACATATTATTTTCTTGTTCTTTGCTGGATCTCTTTTGGTTCCCAGTTGTGGTTATGCTTTGAAGAGTAGTGAAGTGTTCACTTTTCTGCTTAGAGAGAAATTATGCCAATCAAATGCAAAGAAGCCATATAAACAATCTGATGTTCATTTTGAATCGTACCAAGGGAGTGTGTTAATGTCTCCAGTGTTACTTTTCCTTTTCTTCTTTATAGAAGTTTAAAAAAAAAACTTGTACAGTGATTGAAAATCACTTCCACAAGTTGTGATCTCTTAACCAGTGTATGGCAACTCTAATTAGTTTCACTCAGGGATGGAGAACATCTTGAACTATAACAAGATCTCCCAGGGCCACTTACATAACAAATATACTAGTCATGTTTTCTCATTAGCTCCTTTCAGTTGTCACAAACATGATTTTCCAGTGTTTTTAAAAACAGACCAAAAATAAACATTGTGTGTTATTTAAGAGACAATTATTTTACCATGATTCAAAAATCTTTTGAATCTTTTAGGTGGAAGTTTCATAGTTTAATTCATTAACCTTAAGCAAGTCAAAAAATGCAAGGCTCAGATGGCTCAAGAAAGAACAGTACTTTCTGAGTGATTCCTTTTCTTCTTGATCGTATTTTTTTTTTCCATTTTTAGGCTCTTGCCTAAAAGGAATGTCAGAAAACTTGACTTTTTGAATCAGTTGTACAGATTGATTCAAATATTCCCATATGTGGGAGCCATCAAGTTTATAGGCCTAAGTTATAAGTCATCAGTAAACTTGTCAGTTTCTCAGTCATGCAGTTTTGTTGCTTTTGCAGAAGAGACTTGTTTACAGAAGAGTTTTATGCCTGTAACTGTTTGTTCACGAATGTAGTCTGCGTGGTCTGGTATTCATTTACGTGCAATGCGTGTAAATTTGTATGGTTTCTCTAACCCACTTTGTAAGTTTAGTCCCTGAAATAAATTGTTGGAATTTTAGCAACATGGTATCAATACTATTTACTGCTCGAAATTTACTTGGTTTTTCGAACAGCAAGAAATTATTACAGTAAGAGTTTTCTCATTCTGGGAATATAAATTGAACTTTGGGGTGTTGCAGTGTCAGTGCACTCAAAATTAAAGGAGTGAGTGAGTTCTAGTTGTCTACAAACATCTGCGGTTTTGTAGCTCTAGTTTAAAGAAGCGTTAGGTGTGTGTGTTTTCAGTTACATGCTTGGCCTCTGAAATACTGTTCGACATTTTTTTCTGTGAAATCAGTTTCTGCTATTCCACTTTTGCATAGTGTGTGATATTAATTTCTTACTCTTAGCATCAGATGCAATAAAACTGAATTGCACATCAGTCTATCAGAGAACAGCCTTCATCAAATATTCAGTGCATACAGGAGAAACTTATCATAAGAATTTCTTAGATAATATTTTCAGCTTAAATGAGTTAGGAATTCCTTCCTAAAGTATTTCATGTTTTCGTATTTTCATGTCTTATATGGTTCTAAGTAACACTGATTTAAAAAGAGGAGATTTGTGTTTTGGTCAACTCGTATATATTCATACTTGCATGCTTTCCAACTCAAATTTTAGTCTTATTTCCCTAGCCCTTGGCTGATGAGCCCTTGGATCGTTGCTAGTAATTTATTTTGAGTGTAAAAATTGCTTTTCTTCCTGGAAGAATGTTCGCATTTTAATACATTTGGAGGAAAAATATAATAGAAATGTCTGTTTCCCTGTAAATTACTTACTTAATCTTGATATTTTATGTCCTTTTTTTTTTTTTTTTTTTTTTCAGTTAAAACTGATTTAATGAACTGAAAAAAAATCTGTTCAGTCCCCTTCAGTTAAGAGACTGGAAAAGCTTCTTCTTCCCTCTGCCTTGGCACACAGTAGTTACATCGTGTTAGCTCTCTGGCAGGCAGGGATTAGTCTTCAAGCATTTCTGGGCTCCATTTGTCTATTTTTCCATGACTTCTTCATTTGCTACTGTTTTAAATAAGTAACTTTACTTATTTTTATCAGTATTATTCTGATGTATTAAGATTAGACTTTTTCTTTATCTGGAATTTTATTCTGGTTTAGGTAATACATTCGATCTTGCAAACATTAAGAAAATGAGTATTTTTAAAATTTATACTCTTAAAAAGCATGCACATGCACATGCCACCTCAGATTTGTCTAATTCAACAAAATGTACATATGTACTTCAAAAGATAGATGTGACAATCATATGATATAATTTTGATGGATTATAACAACAGAATTATCATGACGTGATCCTTGCTTTCTGGAAAAGGTTAATATCATTTTGTTCTTTTACCCTTTTTCTTTCCTGTCATGTTTAACAAAGATTAAAAAGATAAAAATAATATATAAAACTGTTCTTATTTTTCCATATGTTGTAAAGGCATCAGTTGTTACTAATAATTATGTATGTGACCCTCTACAGAGTTGAGGCTAATGATGATTTAAATTGCCACTTCTGGTACTGTCAGTTAAAGTACATATGGATGATCCACGGAAGGGAAATTAAAACTTTTAGTACAATTTATGTAGATTATTAAAGATTGATAAAGAAATTTGTAAATTCCATATTTAAGCTATATTAAATATATTTCATCTCCAAACTAGAAATGTCATTGCCTCATTGCTTTAGATATTAGGTGATTTTATTGTCTTTAAAACAATTACAAGAAGTGAGATACTCAAAGCTACATTTTTTTGCGTATTTTTTCTGCTTGTTGAGACTAGCTAAAGACTGTGAAAGATTGGTGGTTTTTAATTTTTTTTTTTTTTTTTTTCCTTTTAGGAAGAAATGAACAGTATTAAGTCCAGACTCTAATATTTAGCTAATAACAGGGTTTGAAACAGTCAAGCCATTTGAAAGAAAACTAATGCTTAGAGCCAACACTGTTAGAAGGAATCACTACAAGCCAGTTAACAAAGACCAGTGTCTCTATCAAAATGATGTCTTACAGGAGCAAAAGACGTTTTCTGTGTACTTTGTAGTTGTTAAAAACCATTGTCTTGGCATAACTTCTAAAAGAAAAATAATTGTCCTGTTTGCTAATTGTCAGCAGAGAATCTGTATTGAATGAGTGAAGAATCTGACGGTTGATTCTGTTTTTATTCTGGATCAGGATGGACTGTGTCAAATACTTTTCTCTTTTCTGTTTTACTGTAAACTAAGAAGATCTGATTTTGAGCACAAACATTGCCAATATTTTCTAAATACTTGGTTCACAAGATTTTCAGAGGTCTTCTGAAAATATGTGCTAATGATAAAGAAACTGTGACTAGGGTACTCTTTCAGAAGCATTATATTTTATTAATAGTAGTCATTTTCACTTCTAGATTTTAGAAGGAAGAAGGCAGAGGACAAATACGTCTGAAGGGCTGTGATTAAGTAATTGTATTTTGTAATCTTTAAGAATTAAGTGGTTGCTTTTAAAATCTAAAATTGGCAGCATGAACAGTAATATCAGATAGACAGATAATTTAGTAGTAGCAGTGGAGATAAAAAAGGGCCCTAGGGGTTGTAGGTGTATTTTGCAAAAACTAATGACAAGTTCAGGAAGACCTTTTTTTCTTTTTTCTTTTTCTTTTTCCAAAATAAGGAAGTAATTTAATTTTGTGTACAGTAGGAGGGTTGATTGAAGAGTCGGAATAGATTATTGTGACTGAATCACTCTGAAAACTAAATGGTTTATCAGGATCAGATAACAGAGAAACAAGATCAGAAGAAATTCTTATGATTTATGGTATAAAATCCTCTTTTTAAAGTATTTCTGTGTAGAGACTAACCTAATCATCACCTTAGCTGATCTAATGAACAAGTGGCATATTTGATATTAATGGGACTAAAAATGTATTTTATGAATTGGTGTTTGGAGTGATGCACTGTAAAGAATGCATTTATAAATACAGCAGTTGTGCTTATAACACTTCGATATAAACTTCATCGAAAGTTTATTTTTTATATACTATTTCATAAGAATTTAAGAATTCTTACAGTTTCTCTTCCTTAATTATTTTCTTTTTCTTATATGAAATCAAATAATTTTCATGTTTCGTTGAAAATTTGTCATAGTTGTGATGAAGCAATCAAATGAGCTGTCTTCTCACCTATACGACTTCTGTAGGGTTGGAAAAGACTTTCAAGATCACCAAGTCCAACCACTAGCCTGACCTGTCGAGTTCCTTCATTAAATCACATTTTTCATTACCACATTGACATGTCACTTAAATACCACCCAGGCCTCCACCACTTCCCTGAACAGCCAAATCACACTCTCTGTGAAGAAATTCTTCCTAACACCCAACCTTCCGTGTAACTTGTACTCCATAGAACAACAATGATATGTAGTATTTAATGTCCTAATGGCTATTGGCTCCTACAGAAATCACTGAGGAAATGTAAACATGATTTTAAAGTAGCATTTTCTTGTCTCTCTTTGCCATTACAATGCATTTATAGTTTTTTTTCTAGAAGACAACTCTCAAAGCTTAGATCTTGCAAGACAAACTTTCCAAAGTTACATGTTAATACATAAATGGAAATTAGCATATGTATTATTTTCCAAAGGATTTTTCTGTATGTATTCAAGCAATTCACATGTTGAAAAACTTATGGGAATACTGATATACAATCACTCAATGTAAAATAATGTTTTTCTCCAGTGTATTATTCATTTATGTGCCTGCATGCTGCCATATGCATTTTCAGTGTGGAATTGTGTGGAATAATTTACAGAATAAAGAAATTGAGGTTCGCTATATTGCAGTTATAGATTGAACTCTTCCTTTTTAAAAATTGCCTATTGTTCTTTAACTGTGATTTTACTCTGTATGTATTCCAGGTGTGTGGAGGTGATTGCCAAAGAAGGCCAGAATCTGAAAGAACTGTATTTAGTATCGTGTAAGATCACAGACTATGGTATGTAACATTTTTGCTCCACTAGGTTTGTATAGGAACTCTATTAAAACTGTTGGAAATGTATAAATGCACATTTTCAAAATGTATACCCATAAAAATAGGACGTTTGACTTGCTTGAAAAGATCTGTGCTAAGAAATATGAAAGTCACTATATATGTATGTGCTGTGAAGTATTGCTTATTTGAACTGGCATTTGTTGTGTAGTCTGGTTTTGTGTCCTTTTAATTGTCCTGGAAGTCTGGAGAGCATTTGAGAGTGAATTGAAAAGGTTGTGTGCATTTTAAGATGTTGTGAAAGGATACTCAGGCAATGATGATACATGTAGGCCATGTATGTTAATGAACACAATGATCCCCTTAAAAATGCTTTTATGATTAAGAAAACAGAGAAGCACTTTAGGAAGTATGCTTTCTGTCTGGTAATAGACCAGGTAGAGAAACATAATTCATACTTAATACAGGAAAACTCAATAGTATTGAAGTATATTTGCGGAGGGTACTGTGTTTTGTTGTGTGGTAGTTGTTGTTTTTTGGGTTTTTTTTCCAATTAGCATACTGTTCTCAATTAAGACATTTATTTCTGCAGTAAAATCGTATTTTCAAATGTCAAACTCCCACTTAGACATTAAAATTTTGGTAAGACTTACCAACTTTTACATCTTTAAGCTGTTCGTTGTGAGTTGTTTGATTCTCATTCACTCTTTTTCATTTTAACTTTTTACCCCATAGCTTTTACAAAGAATTACTATGTCAAAGTGATAAATTACCTTTCCAGTGGTCACAAACTCATTCTTTTATTTTTCCCTTCAGATTTTGCACTTTACTGGAGTTTGCATGGGTGCTCAAGGGTATACTGCTCTGCAGAGTTCAGGACTTGAACATGAGGGAGAGTGGGCCAGAACCACCATTTTCTCTATCTGCAGTTGTTTATACTTCCATGAGCAGAATAGATCCCATCAAAATTGAAAATGTAGATTTTCTTGACTTTCTATTAGTTGGCCACGGTGAATTTGTGAGTCTGTGAATGGCAATAATCTACTGGAATTCCATGAAAGGAAATTCTCTCCATAGAACTCAAGGGGACAGTGCAGATGTTTCTTTTCACTGCTATAACGTCAGAGGTATTGGATATATTTTAAGTGAAACTGTCTCTTTGTGTACTATAGATCTACTAGCTCTGCTTCCTGTCCCTACTGACTTTGGCACCCATGTGAAAGTTATTCTAGTGGAAAGAATAGAATCCACAACTTGAGAGTTGGTATTCTCAGAATTATTTCACCATTCATTGGCTGCAGTTAGTGAGAGAAAAACAAGATTTTTCTCGGAGTAGGAAAACACACACTGAGGAACTGAAGCAAAAAAATTGCTTACGAAAAAATGAGGAGAGAAAGGAAGTGTTCTGGGGTAGGTGAAAAGTGGAAGGTGCATTTCACAGAATGAATAAGCTGAGAATATATGTCACATTTAGATGAGAATTGCAACCCCACTCATGAAACCTGAGCTTCTGGTGACTTCTGTGTATTAATACTTACCTGTCACTGATGTATTGGATTCTGCAGTCATTCAGCATTATTACATTCAGTTACTGGGATTCTGAAAAAAATTTTAGTTGACAGTTGACAAGGTCTTACTTTTCTCTAAAATTAGATAATTTTAGTAAGGATCAGTAGGCAATCCAGCAAAATATTTGTGATGCTGACTGATTCTTATACGGTTCTTAAGACCAATTGATTATCATTATACTCTTCAGCACACCAGCATGATGATTGTACTCATCTGCTCATGATATCTGAGAACACAAAATAAACCGTGTAGTGAAGTAGGATTTATCTTTGTGCTTTGTCTGGAAGTTAAAATCCTGCCTTACATTAAATTGTGATAGCAGGTGAAAATTTGATTAATGAGCACCATTTACTGTGCTTTAAGTTCAGTTTGTTGTTGAACTTCATTTATCAAAGAAGCTGCCCCCCTTCCACAAATGAAAAGAGCAGCCATTCTTTTCCTCAGAGCCCTTTCAAACCCTCATGTCCTCTTTGTATCTGTGGCAAGTAGATGAAATCAGCTAAACAGTGTATGCCTGACTTCTTGAGGGATCATTTAGTTGGGTCTCTGCTGGTCTTACAAAGTCTTGCAGTTTCACAGGCATAGTTGTTCAGGAAGTGGGTAAGTTGTGTCCAGAGATCTGTGAGACCATGACTTGAGTGGGGGCCTATGTGACTTTGTTCTTTTGTTTGATGTTCGTAATACTCCTAAGTCTATGAATGCATTTCTTTTGTTGGTGAAGATACATTAAGCATCATGTTTTTGTTTTTGCTTCGGAAATTAGAGTCTTGACACCAACTTTTAATTGTTACGGTAGATATTTTCTCTGGGTTTTTAAAACATACGTAGGGCTGGTGAGCTAGTTCCTTGCAGCTTGATGAAATACAGATGCAAGGTTTCGAAAACTCTCTTTGAAACTGTTCAGCTGGTAATGCAAAAGTGGTCACCCGGCTATTGCGGGTGCTGACTTATGGTTGCTTAGCAGTTCAACTGGAGAAAATAAAAAGTGATATTTGTAATTTCCAATACTACTTAAATTCGCTTGCGATATTAAGAAGTATTTAAGAAATAAGATAATTACAGAAAAAATAATAAGAATAATTTTATACAAAAGAAAAAAGTGGAAATATTGCCCTGCTTTTAATGTACAGGTACGTGCATGTGATCTAATTTCATGTACTCTAGGAAAGACTATGATATGTGACCTTCATATTTGCAATAATTTCATTTTTTTAATTATTATTTTTAAACAGTAAAGTAGTGAACAAAATAACATGTTTATATGCAATTAATATGCAATTAGTATTCAAAGAAAAAATACCAAAATGTACTTTGCAACCTGATAGTTAAAATCCTCTGATTATCCAATGATAATATAGCAGTAGGCACCATTACTTTCTCTGACAACTTGCTACCCTGAGATATGTTTGGTTATATTACACAAAAAGGCAGAAGAGGGTTCAAAGAAGACTTGAAATATGAGTGGATGCTAGAAGTTACCAATTCGTGAATAAAAATAAATAAATATATTACTCCATTTTGCACTATATTATTTTGATATCTTCTGAGAACTTTATAGGGTGATGATTTTTTCAATTTATGCTTGCTCAGCATAATTTCAAAAAAATCCATTTTTATTAGATTTTTGTTAGAATGTAACATGCTAAGTTGTTGAATGAGAGTTTAAATTTTCTTTATATCCAACATATTGTTGTTAAACACTAAATAATTAGTAGCATTTACATAGACTGACAAGAGAGGCTGAATTAGTATAATCTCCAAGATAAACACCTGTTTGCCCAAGAACACAGAGAGAGTGACATTAGTTCCTCGTATCATTTGGCTCTTTTGTTAAACAATCATGAATTAAGCATGGAGTGTCAGTGTTATCTTTGAATTTCCTGCCTTTTGTTGATTTGTGTCACAAACTAAACATTACTTAAACATAGGAGGTTTTGTATTTAAGCTTTTCCTAAGATCTAGTAAGAAAGCTAGGATTTCTCAGCTGTGGGGAGACTATGTGTCAAATGAATTAGGCTGATGTGAGGATGTATAACAGTGAGCCAGGGCAGCAAGCACACACAGAATTGTGTAACTGTCTTTTCAATTTTATGCCTTGATTCTGGGTTTTATTGATATCCTTAGTGTTGGGAATTTGTTTTAAGCAAATTATTACTTATAAAGTTGGCAGAGGGTGCAGATTGCCATGCTCTCTGAAGCACAAAAGTGAGATTTTGTATTCAAAGATGAAAAGAAGCTAGCCTACGAAACTAGACTAGATGTTCTAAGGGTCTGCTCTTGGAATAATGCTAAGCGCAACTAAAAAAGAACCTGCATCCTTGCCAGTGATGAATAAGAATTGCCCAATGTTTAACTTTACAAAATAGTTGGACTAGTGATTTTTTGACAGTGTATGCAGAAAATCATTTAAAGCAAAATTTAAACCATAGGCTTCCGGTCAGGAAAAGATAACAGCATCAACCATGGCTTTTTGAAGTTAGAGTGGAAGTGCCTGCAAATCAGTACCTGCTACATGTCTGTGGTGAGAGATCACTTAGAAAGTCTCAGAAAAAAAATAGATATCCAAACTGTCACTAATAGAAATATAATTGACGCAGTTTGGGGAATACGTTTGCCTCATAACAATTCCTGTCCCGTAAACTGCGGATGACGACAATTTGTCTTTTCACCTGTCTTGTATAGCATCTACTAAGCAGTAGTTCTGAACTTTGCCTAACTTATTTCTAGCTGTTACATAATTACTCAGAGCTTTTTGGATGAAATGCTTGGCACAAGTGCCTAAATTGAAAGGTATTCTACACATTCGTTTAAGACTATGAATACTGAAAAAGAATTCTCTAGATATTTGGTTGTTTTGCTTTCTAAGGATGTGAATATTTCTTTCTCACGTTGCCCATTTTTGACATTTACTGATACATTTATTGTATTTGAGGACATGATTTTTAAAAATTTTTTTCTTTGAGGAGAAAGAAACTAAAGACAACAGAAACTAAAGGAAAAAAAAAAAAGGAGTTTCAGCAAAATCTAATTGAATTATATTCTTTCTATTTTAAAATTTTATAGATAGGAAAAAGCATTTTAAAATAGATGTCTGGAGGGATAAGTGTTTATACCATGTCAAGTCCAACTATCACAACATAGAATATAATTGGAAGTTGTGCTTTTTTTTTTTGTTGCTGTTGGTTTTTTTTTTTTGCTTTTGTTTTTGTTATTCTTTTGTAAAAAGGGAATTATTTTCTGAGAAGTGAAATACAGCTAACAATGTTAAAATAGTTTTTCAAGATGCTGTTGAACTCCGGTGTTTTAATAGTATTGACTACATTTGCTTTCTGTTTTAAAATAAAAGATTTTAATTTTCAAAGGGTTGGATCTCCCTATATAGAATCTGTTTGTATTCTTATATAGATATATCTAATGAGAGTCTCTTGAGCTTTCTC